TCCCGCTGCATTATGCGAGCGAGGGAACACAGCGCTCGGGCGGGACGTGTTTGCGCCGCGGTGAGGAAAAAGACAAAGGGAGAGCGGGGAGGGAACGGTCGCCGCGGAGGGTTATAAACAGGTCATTTGTTCTGGTAGTTGTGGAGGAAATGGGTGTGGGGTTGTGGTGTGGTGCTGGATTGGGGTAAAGATGGTTGTGGTGGTAAGTATAAATATAGTGATGGTAAATGTGTAAAGAGAGATAGTAAACAATCTGGGAATCCAAACTGCCATCACCATTACTAGTTTAGCGGCCGTTCAGAACGTTTGGGGCGAGTCTATTGCCTGGGCTGCCTCGCACGGCGCTCAAACCTCGACAGAATTGAAATAAAAACACACACACCTATTTTTCCTCATTGTTGTAGTCATCTTTTAAACAGTTTATGCATGAATTCTGGTCATTTCTTCTCTCTACAATTTTGCCGAGAACCGTTCATGCATTCAAATTAATATTCAACAACTGTGCAACGTACTTATGCATTTACATATCTTTTCATCTTCGTTATCCAAAAATCAAAACATTCACTCGATTTGGATTATTCATAATTATCAGTGAAATTAAAATTGCAATTATTTCATATACTTATCATTTTGGTCTTTAATATCGTCATTAGCATCTGTAATTTCAGTATCACCATTTCAAAATTATAATAATCACGAATGTTAATAACGTTTATACCATATACCACCGCTACCGAAACTTAAGAAAATGAAATACTCCTTCAACGCTGATAATTAACCCTTTGATTTTCTTCGCTCATTCGATGGCTTCTCGGCAAGAGTACGGACCTCCCGAAGAGGCCTGGCGACGGGCGGAGGCCTTGGGGCGAGAGGACGACGGCCCGGTGAGAGTTTCCGTCGCAGCTTCCCCGCGCCTTCGCTGCTTGGGGAGATCGCGCGAAAGGTGGGGGAGTTTGGGATTAGAAAAGCGCGTATTTAGAATCTAGATTTCTTGTGCTCCTGACTGCTTTTTTCTAGTTATTAATATTGTTATTATTATCCTAATAACAATAGCAACACTAAGAAAAATAACCACAAAAATAAGGATAGCAATAAAGATGTTAATAATGATAATAATGATATGATGATAATGATAATGACATCAACAACAGTAATAAAAAGGATGATGATGATGATAATGACAAAACTTGGGAAGATCACGCGAAAAGGGGGTGATCTTTGTATTAGAAAAACGTGTATGTAGAATCTAGATTTGTTGTGCTCCGATTGCTCTTTTCCAGGTAACAATATTTCCAGCATTATTACTGTTATTATCATTGTAATAACAATAACTACACTAATAAATATAACAACAACAAAAATAAGGATAACAATGAAGATGAGAATAATGATAATGATATGATGATAATGATAATAGCATCAACAACAGTAATAAACGGGATGATGACAATGATAATAATGATAATATTGATAATACTGATAACTACAGAGCTGATCATAGTAACAAAAGTAATGATGATAAAGATGACAATTCTTACCATCACATCAATAAAGGTAATAGCAGTATAGTAATTATAATGATAATGATGATAATAATGATACTGATAACGATGCTAAAACTACTGACAGCGATAATGATAATAACAATATGATCATCATATCAGTATCATTGTCTGTATTATGCACCACTGGTGTAAATGAGAATGATGAAAATGCTAAAACAAAAATCCAGAATAACGCTGACACCAAACGTCCATCACAATCATCAGCATCATCATTATCATTACCAACATCATCATCATCCCCGTAATCATCGTCACCATCATCTTCGAATCATCATGACGTCACCAGGCCTCGAAGCTGAATTACTGCCATGTTAAGTTGCAATAATTTGCAGTATTGCCATTGCTGTTGTTGTTATCACTGGTATTATGATAATAATGATAAGGATAGTGATGATGATAATGATGATTATAATAATGATAATGATAACAATGATAAAAAAACAATTATAATAACAATAATAATAAAATATAATAATGGAATTAATGGTGATTATGTTAAAAAAGAAAAATGATAATGATAACCTCCGTCACATGGCGCTAACTCCTACGGTACCAACATTTACATACATTTATCAATAAAGTTTCACTTCAGAGTACAAACAAGGTCTTCAAACTCGGGACCCGTCTGAGGGCGAGCCAGGATGGCAGACCGTGTTCATTTCCTTGACTTCCCCCAAACCCTTTTAATGTAAAACAATTGAAACGACCTAACTATGTGTAGAGATCTCTTGGACTCTCCAATGTCGATCTCAACAAAAATCTGTTGATATATATATATATATATATATATATATATATATATATATATATATATATATATATATATATATATATATATATATATATATATATATATATATATATGCACGTGTGTGGGTGTATTTACATATGTATGTGTGTGTGTGTGTGTGTGTGTGTGTGTGTGTGTGTGTGTG